TATAAACCGCTAACTACATTTTCGCTTCATCACACCAAATCCTCCTAATACCACCAACAATGCGTTTAATTACGTCTTAATAAATACTGATTTCTTCATTGAATTACACTGTTCCAATTGAAGCCATTATTTCGTAACACTTCATTATTCCTATTCGATCAAAACGCGATAGATAGGTCCAGATCACGGGGCGACTTCAAGTGAACCTGTGGTAAATCAGCCCATAATGCTCGCTGCCGCATTTCGTAGTTGGCTCAACCAATTACCAGCTATTTTTCTTCGACTGCTGACTTCCTGGCTTTTTGACAATAGAAATGCCGATTAACTTTGGTTACGAAAACGTTCGCCCAACATGTAGGGAGCCGTCCTAGAGAACGTCTGCAATCTTGTGGAGTCCATTCTACGGTTCCTTTCGTCCATCTGTCGTCCGTTCATCGCACTGTCTGACCGACCCATCTGTGTTTCGCTATCGATGTATACTCTTCTGGATCAAGAAGATAATTATATAATAATCCAAAATAATTCGCTATGGACACTATATTTTCTGTACGGGGCGTCATCAACAAACGCAGCTCGTCCGTAACCATTCCTCCAAAGAAAAAACTTGCACACATCCTGCGTTGTGAATTTTTGAGCCAATGGTGGTAAATATGGAGAATATCAAATTGCGTTGTTGAAGACCGAAATTCGTTTAGCTTCAGAATGAATGATCAGTAACGTCTTCGTTCGGTCTTAGCAAGATTCCCTAGCACTCTGAAAGGATACTACCACACTCTCATTCGAACCAAATAGGCCGGTGACCTACCGCGTGGTGAGGAGCCGGCGCAAAAACACCCTAGTTCGACCATATCAGGATTTCGGAGAAATTACTTTCACCAATATTTAAAATGCTGGTCACCTGTTTCACCTGTCGTCCCCTTGACCGATGAGTGATTCGAACGCGCACCAGTAAATCTTCCACTCCTCGTAGGGTGCAAGGAAGCCCAGTAGATTCTGCGCCCTCTACAGACTCGTTGAGCATTACATCTTCCTTACAGCGTTTTAGTGATGAACTTTGACTAAGTTCGACGATCTCAATGCTGTGCATCTGACATCCCGAAGAACGGTTCACCTTATCTTGCAATATGTAGTATAGAACGGTTTTTTTGGTTTTGATCGTTTATGTAGATCGGAGTTTCAAAAACCTTTACTCACTTGCGTCATACGGAAGATTACTAGCATCGCCATTTCGACTGTGCATTCTATAGCGCTCATCATTCATTCTGCTTACGTAGCAACCAGGTTTCTAATGCATATATTAAAAAAGAAACATTCGTGGAATCGAAAAGGTGACCACGGAACCGGTGCTCTTTGTTCTCGTTACTATATCCTCGATGCTCTTGAAAGCTCCCCAAGCCGCTCGGTTCCTCCTGCTCAACTCTGTAGCTAAGTCGTCCATCAAGTTGATTTACCGGCGTAGACATAGCTGAGGCATTCGGAGATATTCATTCCGTTGATTGAACGTGAAGAGAGCATACGAAGCCAATTCGTTCGTCATGAACGTCGTTTTTTGTGAGAGTTAGTCAAAGAACAGTCTCTCCGCTGGCATTATCAAAATTGGCAAGCATTCCTTTCGCCTGGATAATGCTTGGTATTAAAAATACGATGTCGACAGCAAAGCGTAGATGGTGTGTGCCCACCATCGTTTCTCACTCCCATCTTTTCCCATGCCAATGTTCGCATCACGTTCTCGAGAGTGGCGGTTAGTAATTTTAGCAAAATGGTATCGAGTTGCCTAACCGATGTTCTGATGAAGGATGTTAACATCGGTAGATAGTGGTAATATTATGGTCGCAAAATTTTTATATAGCTCACGAAGAATCTTCATATGCTGAATAAGGACGCCGTAGCTGTCCAAGGCTTCCATGACTGCTTCTCTCTCGATTGAGTCAGAAGCTTTCCTCAAATCGATGAAAGCGATACAGTAGCCCATTGTACTCGCGTGGTACTTCGATGAGTCTTGTTATCGTGTGGATGTGCTCCATTATACTGAATCCTTTACAAAACCCTCCCTGGTCACAAAGCTGTCCTTCGCCCACTGTTCTTCCAATAGTGTTTAGGATGACTCGAGCAAAGAGTTTGTAGACGACAGACAGAAAGCATACTGAGTGATATTTGCCGATGTCTTGGAGGTCACCCTTGTTGAACAGTGACACAGTCATTCCGCTCTTCCACTGAATAGAAGCTTTGTTTTATGACAAGTAATGTGTGAAGATCCGAGGTAATGTGTTTATGAGGACTTCCGGAAGGTTTTTCAGGTGCCCAGATCTTATCCTGTCGGCACAGTGTTGTTTGATCCTTAACCAAATAAACGCCATGTTGGATTTCGGAAGGTAGAACCAGTGAGACGACATATCCATTCTCATTTATTTCAAATGGGAGCAGGAGGAAGTGGCTACTGAAGAGATCCGAGCAGTAATCGCAAATGATTGCCTCCAATGCCTTTCTGGAAGGTGTAATTTTTCCGTCTGGGGGTCGCAGTGCAATCATCTTGGTTTTGTAGTTGGCGAAGCTTCAGTGGGCTTTACAAATGCTTTTCTCAGCTACAACGATGCTGAGATATTCACAAAACATGGACTCATGGTATAGAATGAATCACGATTACCCTCGTCGGGGACTCGCGTATTACACACTACACCACTTAGGCCCTTGCTTTGCGTTTCTCTCAGCTTATTTTCTACCTAGCTCTCCCATCAGCAATCACCCTCCATCAACCGTAGCTTTGCGAATACCTCAGCATCGCTGTGGTTGTATTTCATAACAAACTCTGTCGTGAAAAATTATAGTAGGCAGCAGATGAAAGGTTAGCATTGTGCTTTTCTTAACCTCTGCAGTCTCGACAATAACTGCTACTTTTCTCTTTAAGATCTTTTTTATCACCTGTCTGTATTGTCTTGCAAGTTTGGACGGGAGACGGCGGTTGCCTGTAGCTCGTGAGATTCCATGCTGGCTTATCAGCTCCAATGTTTTCGGAGACAGACGTCTCTTTCCGACTTTCCAACTCACAGGTTTAATAGCGCTAACACGAAGATGCCATATGAACCGATTGTATTCCTCGTGGATGTCATGGAGAACGACATGTTCCCATAGAGAATTTCTCTATCAAATAGAGAATTCTCTATCTGCCTAACATTGCTGTGTCTAATGGCGTGCCCGATGGCTAAGACTGGATGTGGACGTAGGGTATGCAAGCGTGCGTTGTGGCAAATATTTAACTACACAACAGGTTACATTCAGTCTCTATCAACTTGTAGAATGTACTTATTAGGTAGAGAGAGAATTTCTCTATCAAATATATCTGTATCTCTATACTTCCCAACAAAGCACTAATGTACTGAATAAATCCCAGTTCGTGGTGGTTTTGGCACTTCGTTATTTGAATTCAAAGACTTTTTCTCCTTCAAGCGAAAAATGAAACCTTTTATGAAGGATACATTGGTCTGACCTTGTGTAGAATCTTTCGAAAACAGCGACATCGGTTTGGTAAAACTTTCTATTTACTATGAACTGGTCTATTTCGTCATGGCACTCTCCACTGGGAGACTCACGCGTCCAGCGTTGAGGTGGGGCTTCTGGAATTCCGAGTTACTATGCATGGTGTTGGTCATCATGATTAACAGCCGCTCTCCCTGGTCGTTCGCTTCTAATCTGTGGGCCCCAATGTGACGCTCTTCTTGGTCCAATCTTACCGCTAAAATGGTGAGCTGAAGAATCCATGGTCTTCTCTGTAGAACTTCCACAAAATTATAATAAAGAGAATACACAACGTAACTGACCACCTTTACACATAGACAACGAATCAATGGAAGATGTGTTGGGATCTTATGAAGAGACGGCCTACCTAAGGATCTTATTGAAGCCGATATACTAAGCGATGTCTTTATCTCGTACATCTGTTGTCGACTCTTCCTCTCATATCTTCTATCTTCAGGCTTTTGCTTATATCTCGCATCATACTGAATCCCAAGAACGAGGAAGTTCTTGAATGTGTGAAGCTCGAATACAAAGCTAATGTCGTGCTTATTGGCTTTATTTTATAATAGATTGTTCTAGTAAAAATTTTGCATTGCAAGGTTCGACAACGTCCCACCTGCCGTTTATAATCTCCCATAGATCACGTTCTTTAAGATGAAGGAGACAGGTAGCGCAGTGACAGCGATCCTGTTTGTTATACCGACGGCCCAACCTACCCAAGCGCTGGTGTGACACCCCCGCGCCCACACCAGGCCTGTCATCCCTCCTGCATTCGAGAAAATTGGTATCAGACTTCTCTAGGAAAAGCTCAGACTTCCTGTGATTCACGTAGTAATGTTTAGTCAGACTATTCCAGAAATTCTGGAGGGATGGAGGGATGGAGGGATCGACTCGACTAGCATTCAACAACATTCCTGAGAAAGATCGAAAAATCCTAGACCGCCACCCACCCAAAGCCACACAATAAAAGAGTTCGAGGACAATCGTTGATGGTTAACGCGAGAAAACGAATCGAATTCAAGAAGTTTTGGGATCCCCATGTGATACATGTGATGTATAGTCATGTAATAATAATAGAAAGGCGAACTACTTCACTATTATCCATCGAGTCCAAGGTGATTTCATCCGAACCACTAAATATAGATTGTCGAAACAACTATTTAAAGAACCCAGTCAGTGGATAATACAGTACCCTGCTCTGCATGACAGTCTGAAATTTACAGGAAGTGAGCATACAACTTGAATAACAAACTTCAGGAACAGGAACAACCAACTTGTTCATGGACCAATTCTTAGAAAATTTCGCGTATTATCACTAATTCAAATAGTTGCAACACAGGCAACTGTCTGCCAGACTACGATCTACGAAGAAGAAAGCATTGGAACGATAGCAACAATTCCAGAACGTTGTCCATTTTACATTCAGAAGAAAGAAATGAGCCCGAGCCCAATAAGAGCCCAATAATGAAGTTAATGTTAATTTTCGGATGCCTGCGAATGAAACTCTCAAAGACCTTAATCACTATCGCGCGAAAAGATACAGCTCAAACCTCACTCTAGTGCAAAAACGTGGTATGCGAGAGGTACGAGAGCTGATAAGGTTGAAAACCATAAGACTATCCGTTAGTGATAAGGGTGGAGAGTTTGTCGTAATTCCTTATCAGTTAGATGTGGAGATAACGAAAAAGCATCTTGAAGATGCTTCGCTTTATCGCCCATCATCTGAGGAGGAATTCAAAAGTAAATAGCGAAAACTAAACCACGAATGGGCCAAAATGGCAAGGGCTGCTGGTTTGAAACCATCAGTTATCTCTCAACTTAAAGTTGCTTTACCAACTGTCTTGTACTTACTTATAAAAACTCATAAGTTAGTATCCAGCGATGATCTTGCGTCTAACGATCCATCACTATTTAAGGTTAGACCTATCATTAGCTGCGTAGACGGGCCAACGGACAGGATAACATGGTTTTTAACCCTAATATTTAANTGATAAGGTTGAAAACCATAAGACTATCCGTTAGTGATAAGGGTGGAGAGTTTGTCGTAATTCCTTATCAGTTAGATGTGGAGATAACGAAAAAGCATCTTGAAGATGCTTCGCTTTATCGCCCATCATCTGAGGAGGAATTCAAAAGTAAATAGCGAAAACTAAACCACGAATGGGCCAAAATGGCAAGGGCTGCTGGTTTGAAACCATCAGTTATCTCTCAACTTAAAGTTGCTTTACCAACTGTCTTGTACTTACTTATAAAAACTCATAAGTTAGTATCCAGCGATGATCTTGCGTCTAACGATCCATCACTATTTAAGGTTAGACCTATCATTAGCTGCGTAGACGGGCCAACGGACAGGATAACATGGTTTTTAACCCTAATATTTAACCAGTTGTTGAAACACATTCCAGCCCATCTTACGAATACCCAGATGTTTCTGGATCGTCTACATACTGCGCAGCCCAACAGCGCGTGCGTGATGGAGTCCTTCGACGTTACCGCCCTTTATACAAACGTGTCGAATGATTCCGCAATGCAAGCCATATTCGAACTCCTTACGCAACACGAAGGAGAAATAAACATGTATGGCTTCAAAATAGAGCACTTGATGGCACTCTTAAAAGAATGCTTGAGCTGCTCAATCTTCAGATGGTCCGGAAAGTACTACGCTCAAATAAGAGGGTTGGCAATGAGACAGCGACTTGCACCAAGTCATGCCATTGCGTTTATGTCTATAGTGGAAGCACCGGTGATTGATCTCGGGCCGCTACTCTACTGTAGGTATGTAGACGACTGCTTTGTCCTTTGCTCAACACAAGAGGAAATGGACAAATGCTTCGAATTGTTAAACGCACAGTCAGAGTATATCAAGTTCACCCGAGAAAAGCCGAAAGAAAAATGGCTTCCATTTTTGAACCTACAAATTCACCTATCAGAAAATGGCTACATTACAAAGTGGTACCGAAAGCCAAGTAGTAAAAACATCTTGGTTCATTACCTCTCCTCTCACCCCTCTCACACGAAAAGGGCGCTTATAAGATACATGTTTCGAAAAGCAACCAGTGTGTGCACGGGAAGAGAGCAGAGAGAGGAGTCCCGGAACTTGACGCGGCGAATAGCCATTTCTAATGCCTACGAAACTGTAGCTCAGGATAGGTGTAGGAAAAATCCTAAGCCTCTAAACGACAACTTTAGCGATAGAAGGGTCCCGTTTATCCTACCCTTCATCTCAAATGATGTAAGTACAGCTATAAAACGCTGCTCAAGAAGGGTGGGTTTAGAGAATTCGGTAAACGTAGTTGAAATACCACCGAGCAATCTTAAGCGCCAGCTAGTTCGTAACCGCCTATATGACCGTCTATGTGCAACTCAAAATTTTTACCCAGTGGTACCCAATTGCATAATTTACCCCAGTGGTAGAGACGGTGATTGCATGAGCTCGGGTATAGTTTATCTGATCTCCTGTAAGACGTGCGGAGACGAATACATTGGCGAGACGGGCAGACCCCTCTGTGTCCGCATGAAAGAACACCTAGCCGGCAAAAATAGACCAAATACCCCGCTAGGCACGCATAGGACCCAGAGACATAACCGGGACGACTTCGAAGTATGTGTCACGATCCTCGCACGCGAATCAAGAACACAGGCGCGAAAAACTCTCGAGGCACTCTGAATTAATTCCGGAAATCCGAAAGTGAACCGCAGGGAAGAATGCCTCATTATCACGCGTGATATAGGGCAGTATATAAGACTGTTATTCTGATAAGAGGAGCACAGTGTGCTTCCATGTGATTTCTGTGCGGTTGGTCTTCACGCGACATACTTAGTGGAAACCTCATAGAAAGCGGTGAGTGTGCAGAGCTGTGTTCAATGTGATTGAAATCTTGGTTTAGAAAATCTTGGTTTTCTTCTGATGTGAGGGGCACATTATACTTCCACGTGATTTCTGTGCGGTTGGTCTCTACGTGACATACTTGGTGGAAACCTCATAGAAAGCGGTGAGTGTGCAAAGCTGTGTTCAAAGTGATTGAAATCTTGGTTTGGGGTTTCTTTCTTTGTTTGGTTATGGAGGCGTCTGGCCGAGTGGATTGCTATCAACTTGACCTTTCCAGACTCTGAAGAAGGCGAAATCCGCCGAAACGTCAGCTTAATCGTGAACAAAGAATAGTAACACCTCGCGTTTGCTCAACAAAAATACGAAGAAAATCTCTTGATTTAGAGTTTCATTGTTTGGTTATGGAGGTCTCTGGCCGAATAGATTGCTATCAACTTGACTTTTCCAGGCTCTGAAGAAGGCGAAATCCGCCAAAACGTCAGCTTATTCGTGAATAAAGAATAATAACACCTCGCGTTTGCTCAACAAAAATACGAAGAAAGAAATGAATCAAAATAACGAAGATTGAACACACCAGGTACAATTTCCTCGGTCACATTGCCCTCAACCTTTTTGAAATGACATGTCAGCCACGATGAAAACGCGTCAGCTCCACTTTTATTCAGAACCAAACTCAACGTAAAACGTTGCCAGAAAACAGGAAAGAAACAAGCAAAGTCTGCGTATAAAACATACAACTAGCATTAACATGTAGTGGTTGACCAAAACACTCGCGAAGAAACAGAAAACGAATAGGTACCGTAAAGCACAGACTCCACCTTTTGAATGGAACCATCGATTCTAACCAGTGGATTGATTATTCGATTCAAAGTCGAAATCGAACAACTCTTCTATGCCGCTGTCTTCCGTTTCCGTTTATTAACACCATAGTTATGCACATGGGCAATATTCACTTCTGTTGTCGTAATCTGATCTTTCACATACGCTAGCTCGGCTGTCAGCTCATCCACCACCTGCAAAAAAGTCAACTTAATTTCTTTTTTTTTAACTAAGGTAGCTTTCATTAGCACATTTTTCTACATGATCCGTTATCACATCTACTGCGAGGATCCCAGCACTTCTTGTTTCTGATTCTTTTTCCTCACATTCGTCTACAACGATCTTCGAATATTGCGCACGTTGTTTCATCTGCTGCATGAGGATTTCGTCTTCCTTATGAATGTCGTATAATCTTGGTCTAGTCAATTCTTCCTGCGATCTTGAAGATAGCTGGGCTAAGGCGTTCCCAAGTGAACTGGAGGAGAGTTTCGGCATATTATTGTTAGCATATTATCTTCCTCAAAGAGTGGAAACCACGAAATTTTAAGGAGACAGCAGAGAGTTCATTCATTAACAATGCGACACAGACATTAGAACAGTTTCACATTTTGACCGTTTCTTAACAGTCTATGACACAGACCACACGAGGATCCACAATATCCTTACAAACAAAAGATAGTGCATAATAGCTCACCAATACCATCAGACTAAAGCGATGTGATTACAATCCCCTCTTTTCAAAATCTTAATTCCATTAAATACTCGAAAAGAGCTCGTGTCTTCGCCCAAGAAGTAAGAATAAGTGGTGCAATAGTGGCTTAATTGGAGCCTTCTATAAATCTAGAAGCGCTTAATACTGATCAATCCATCAAGAATGTGCTATGCGTGCGAGTTCTTTAAGCATGGAAGGCACAAACGAATCCATGCTTAGATTATAGTAACTTCAAGCCAAGCCATTAAAATAATGTTTTTATTCCCTGGACTAGACCAAATTACTGACACTGATGGCATGGAGCACTTGGTTTGTTCGAAGTGGAAAATCGAACCAACGATTATTTACATATTGCAGGACATTTCTAAGCACTCAGCGAGGTTAGATTCGAACGCAGCTCACAACACACCTCATGCGGCCGTGATAAATACCGGTTGAACAACGTTTTAACAGAAGTAATTATAAAGGTACAACAATAAAAATATTGCAAGCAGAACTATTCTGAAAAACTGTCATTGTTTTCACCGTGATTTTCAGCCTTTCTAAATAAGAGGAAGTTATCACCATAGACAACACTGTGGCCAATGATTGCGAGTTAATAGCGAAGTTCCAACTCAATGTGTTCCTCTACTCCGTGGAAAACCTACGCCCTAATAAAGGATATGATCTTCGAACATGTCCAACGCACTAAAATGTTCTTCCGGTGGTTTCCGATTCAACATAGATGCAATGACAGCTGAACCTCACAAATTTCAAACATCTGCCGCAGAGCGAACAGATGATATGTTTTCAAATACAACTAGAAGAAACAACAAACCAAGCCTTAAAATTCGGACTAGCAAAAAAAATCCTTGCCGAAGGTGTCTATCAGTACATATAACTAGAACGAAGCATATATAAACCAGTCATACAATGAGGCACGTCGACAACAAAGTAAATAGATATTTCAGAAGATGTAGATGAGCACGAAATAAGAGATATAGGACGACAGACAAATTGATGATAATGATGCCTTTATTAACTTTCTAAATCAAAACCTTTATGATATTCGGACACACATACCTTCTGCACGCTACTTCTGTTCTTTTCCAACAGCTCTCTAGCTTTATCAAGTTCATATTCTACCATGACATTGGCGCCCAACCATATCGAAACCTGCAATTACTACGCTATTTATCATCAATATCATCGGCTTTCGCATAATGATAGAGTGACTTTAGTCAGCACCAGTAAAGTATATTTTCAGCTCTGCAGCGCATCAAAGCATTTCACTTGGTTCTACGATTTAAAAGATATGAACACCTTTACTTTGGACCTTCTTGAAAAGTTCTAACTATTGAATCGATGGAGATCCCTTTTGTAGACTTGACATTTGCGGAACCGATTTCAGTTGCTTACGAGTCATATCTAGCAGTTTTCGTTAAGATGTATCACATATATATTCGTTCTGATTTTTACTTCACAGCATACTCGAGTGCATCTAATTTTTGATCGCTAGCCTAGATTGGAACAAGAGCCTCGCTATCCTTCTTACGTAAAGGCGACACTACTAGTTTTACCCTTCAATAACGCATTTGGGAATGGTGCTCGCACTCTTCTTAGATCCCTCTCCTTATGCCGACAATTACGTCGCTAGAGAATTGTGACATTCCGGATGCAATATTGTTATTGATGAGAGTACAGATCCGTAATTTCACAAAAGCTTCACGACTTTTCCAGTCCAATAGGACTGGAGGTATTTATGACGTTGAATGAAGCAGTGCGTAACACCACCTTGTTCTATGAAGTACTTAGTTTCCAATCCAGATGAAAATAATCGATTTACTATTTTTCGTGACTTCCAATGAGGAAGTTTAGAACAGCGGATTATAGTCGCATACGGTTGACAACTTCCTCATTGGAATTCACGAAAAAGCGGCTCCGAAGAAGGCGATACTGCCGAAACGTCAGCTAGCGTTGTATTGTATTGTGTTGCTCTATGAAAGTAAATGTATGCTGTTTAAAAACCTCGCGATTGCTGAACAAGAAAACGACGCATTCATAATCGATTTAATTAAACAGCAGGCAGATTGTCTAATGGTGGCCGATTCTTACAGTACATTACGGGGCTGGTTGTGTCTAGTGACGATGAGGAATCATGCATTCTAATACGTAATGTCTGAATAGCAAAGGCAATGTTAATCAGAACTAGAGGCAGACTCTTCGAATACTAGGATCGTGTACTATAAAACTGATGAGGTTTTTCGATTCCAGACTTCATAAGGAAGAACCGTTGAAATGTATCTATCCTCCTTCAACTAATATAGAAGCAGATGCATGTGGCTATCGATGATATCGGAGTACAAATAGTGAAATGCCTTCCTCATTAAACGACATAAAGAAATGTCCATTCCTTCTAGTCGCAGAAGCATCATCATACAATTGAAAATGTCTCTGCAGACGAGTGGTTGCTCTCCCTAGCCCCTACAGCTTCAACCAGCCATGTTGCTCCACTATTCTTAAAAAAATTTTTCTCCCTTCTATGTACACCTTTTCAAATATAAAAGTTCCTGGTAGCCAATATACCGTGAAACTTGAGAATTTCATATAAGTGAGAGATTTTTTTGTGATTTTTAAACTCTTCCTAAAACAACAATAAACGTGCTAGCGGATTACTCGGTCGGAATCCTTATGGATGCTGTCGATAAGGGTACTTTACCAGTTAAGTCAGTTAAGGAAGAAAAGACAAATCAGAATTTGCTATGATTTCGAGTTACAACGCAAACACCTGCGGTCCGGAGTTTTGCAAATATCTAAGCACCATCACAGTTGTATTACACATAGTACACTGCCGTAAAAAATTGTAGTAGGAAGCAAATAAAAAGTTAAGATTGTGATTTCGAATTAGTTTCTTGAAATTGGTGATCCTATATTCTTCTCGAAAAGCAAAATTTTCGCGATTGTGATTGGTTGATCCTGTGCGGAATTTTAGAGCAACGGCCATATCTTTGCTGCTGAACTTTCCAACTCAATAAAATGTCAGCTCCACTAGGGCACTCGCGCTTGTAGGTCCTCCTACTGAACGTAGAAGAGAGGGTTCCTGGAAATTTTAGTTACCAAAGATAGTATCAGCTGACATAACGAACCTGTCAGTACCATTTGTTATAAATGTCTACAAATTAAGATATCATCTCCTGTCAATGTTCCGACATTCTCTATAAACCATTCTTGCTGTTGGAGTCCTCGATGATAACATTGCAAGAAGACTGATCTTTCTTGTTGAATTTCACTAGGTATACAAGGATTGCCATGATTTCCGTTTTGCCTCAATTTTAGGATATAGTTGACAAGTGTTATAAAAGTCGTCATTAGCCCACATCTTTACAACAGTGAACATCTGAATTGGATCGTTGGCTGCTAGAAGAAATCGCTTTTCACTTCTTCCTGACAAAGACACCAATTAACTCCTCTCATATTGCTCCACCAATTAGTAGTTCATGCCGAGTATGATAGAAAGTATTTAATGTGTACAACGTTTTCGTTTCGGGCAGTTAAAAGATGTAGGACTTGATATTTTTACCTTCCATCAGCAGCTGGCGACAGTGGTTGGTGACGCCACTAAGATACACACGTGGAATCGATCCCCGCGCCCATGGCCAAGCCTTCCGTCCCCCCGGGGTCGGCAATTGGTATCAGACTTGTCTGGGAAGATAGCAGCACTGGCTCGATATATCGCCAGGCCACCGCGAGTCATTGTAAAGGCCGAATATGCATTAAATCACCTCCAGCGATACCTAATGAAGTCGAATGCATGACGCATCCCTCAAGGACTGATCAACGCCGAGAGTTTTATCCTTTTATCAGCAACTATTCGAGGAACCTGACGATCTTAAGCTGTTTATGCCCTAATCTATTGCCACCACCTTTGTCTTTAGGAATTTAGACAGCATAGAACAACCGCAAATTTTATGCAGCTTCTCTACACTGGTCCTACGTAATGTTGGTCCTACGCAACAGCAGCTTCTTCAGAAATACTTAATGAGGCGCTTTGGTTTTCATTATTTCTGGCGGCGTCTCGCAAGAACCTACCATGATCTCGGTATATTGTTAGGTGCCTCGCCGAGATTTTGCAAATTAGACATTGGACTTTATTTATTGGAGGAAACTCCGTTAATGGACTGTCCACGAAGTCCTAGCTATCACCAACACTTCGGTCAACCAAATAAATGCAGTACGTTGACTAAAGTGCTTTTTTATCTCAGCAAATTAAGAACGGATTCAACACTAATGTGGAAGTTAACAGTTTTGATGAAGCAATTTCGCAAACGACATCCTTCATTAATTTATCACTTTTTATTAAAAAAATATGTAAGAAATTACCGTCTCTGGCTTCTTCACGGTAGCCCTGGCAAAGACTTCCTCAGCAACTAGAAACGTTGTATCAAACGGCTCGCCGTTTTCCTAAATATCAATAATTAAATAGACTCTAGTGCTAACTCTACAGTTTGTATCAAGAGACGTTAACATTCCTACCACTTACTTTTTTTCTGATCAATATATCGATAAGAGCCAAACTGTTCTTGAAATCAGGCAACTTCTCCACCATTCTGAAATTGGTAATAAAGAATAAGCGTTCAGCGTTGGTCAATGCGACGTGCCAAGCACTCGACTTCATAAAAACATTCCACCACAACACCACATCTGTAGGGCTCATTTTTAAGAGGGTATTTTGGCAAGAATACCCTCTAAAAAGGTCATTTACTACTTTCCGACGTTTCTGATTTGCACACAGAACCCATTTACCACAATTCTTGCAATCAACGGGCAAGTTGTCCAAGAGAATCTGTGGCAGATGTTGTTCAGGAAAAGCTCTAATTTGCAATCAGAAATACACAAAAATCTTTCTCGACCGCCGGTAATATGGCCGCCAACTCACTGTTACTTCGATTCTATTCGCTAGAATAAATCTGAGTCATCGGGTGAAATGGTTAGGTATGCAAAATACAGAAGGCGTAGGTCGTAAAATACTTCGAAACACTGACGGCGATGTTTTGTATGATGGACCAAGCAAGGTATAGCACATAAAAAAACACACGCCATTCACAGCTCTTGAGCGATATGGCAGTGTCCCTTCCATATTACTGCCATGTTCTCAACCTCTCAAATCTTCTCATCATCGAAATACTGTCTTCTAGTATCGAAAAATCGGCAAGTCCTTGGTGATCATAAATCCTCGTCCTGGGTGTCAACCAAGCAGAATTAAACGTTTGAGAATGTGTCAAGCAATATATATCTGATTAAAAAGAGTACCTAGCTGACTTGTACAATGACTTGCACATTCTATCGAGGTAGCAAATCAGTGTTTTCATCCATCCAGACTAGACCGTTAGTAAATTGCCGTTACTAAACAGAATAACGGGCGGCTTCATCAGCCGTAGACGTTAGAGAAAATCAACAGCCACGTATATACTGCATGGAGCCTCTAACCAAAGGGTAATTTATCTACTAACACAGAGATATCATGCGGCATTTTGCGCCGCTGATGCTTGGACACGAGCAATTTTGGGTTAGCTGAAAAGAAGGCTTAATTTCTTCTGCGAGTCCGAACAATACCTACTACCACGGTGATTTTTGGGTGGTGCACTATTATTTCCCAATAACTAAGAGACTTGAGAAATTTTAAAGTTAACAACTGCATTTATTGAAGTGTTTCCTCTAGTTTGGGTATGTATACTACGTACTACAGTACTACATCTGTCAACCATCCAACCTCATCGCTGTTAGCATTTTATTTTTTTCTAAATTGAGTCGAGCTCAATTCGTAATTTCTTTGTTGGTACGATATTCATACAAGCCATAGGTTATTCAAGATTCGTCATATCGACACCAAATGAAGGAATAACAATGGGCTGCCGGTTGAAAATTGAATATTGTGTACGTAACATCACGCGCGATAATGCTTTCCAAATCTCCAGTACTTCCTCCGTTAGAGGGAAATTTGAGAGTTTGAAGACTTAACACGCCCATAGAAGGTAGAAATTTTGCCATTTATACTTACGTTACATACCGTTGTGGCCAGGCACTACTCAGTGATTTTAGATGTGCAGGTGTTGCCGTTATCACCTACCTTTTATTTCCACATACACGCTTATGCATTTTCTGTTTTTTCTATTTTTACTGAGACATACCACACCATTCCACGTGCTCGAAATACTGCCACTCTCTCCCATAGCGAAAACACAAATGATTTCCTCTTACTTCGCTTCCATTCCATTTTTAATTAAAGGAATTTGCCCTGTCAACGGTGGATCGAGTACAGACATCGCAATGAGCAGTAGTCCTCTACGGCAAACGAACTCTATTCCACATAAAGACAGTGGGTTGTGGTAAATATACAGCTAAAGCTTAACCAATTTCCATTTAAGTTGAATTTCTTATTTTTCTAGCAGGGAATTTCAGATCGTAATTGGTTTCTGGTTCTATGTTAAGCTATGTCATTGTGACTAATACCTGAACAAGGTAACTAGTAATCGTCATCTCTGTAACTTTACATTTTCATCCCCTAAATGAAAAAGGTTCTGTCCATATTTTTTATGAGTTCTGTGCTTTAACAACGATAAGTCCCATGTTTTTAAGTTCTTCAAATAATTGTTTAACACGACGATTTGCTCAACGGTTCACCTCTATAGAGTCAGAACATGTCTGGGATTGAAGAACTCCACTCAAATTTCGATGAACAACAAAGAAATCACTGAACGTACAGTAATTACAATGTATTTCTATGTTATTCGGTTTCACGACTTCTTTCTTGCTCTTTCACTATCGCTGAAGTGACGGACAACAGACATTTACAACTTTTTTCAATAGTTTAGATAAGCAATAATTCTTCCACGCAGCTACTGTTTTCAGATGCATAGGGGGATCTATCGCAGCTCGTTGAACACGATCTCGGCCAAGGACTCCACATAGTTGATTGCCCAGTGCTGGTTGGATGTGGGAAGTGATTGCTTGCTTACGCCGTAGTTTATGCAAAAAATGTTACTATACTCCTCTCACTGCATGGAGCCCTCACTTATTCTATTAGTATATTCCGATGGATAAGGCAGGTCAGTTCCCCAAGGAAGTAGTCTCTATCGCAATAGTGCACTTGCAATTATTTGTATGCAAATCGCAGGACCGACTTTCTTATAGCCTCGGCAATGATTAACAATAGAGTTTTCATGTTGAGCAAATATGAGGTTGCTAACAGTAAGATTTTTTCTACACAATACTCGACGTTTAGGCGACTCATTTGCACACAGCTTTCCACCCTTCAATTTCGTTCCCACCTAACCCTATTTCTGGATGTCTCTCTACTGCTAAAGACCTTTTCTTTTGGCCCTAGGTATACAACTTGCACGCCTTGATTGCATGCTTGTGCTTTTTATGCGGAATATATTGCGGGGATGCAACTCTACGTCTAAGTGGAACCCTCTAAAAGCACCAACGGTTTAGAGTAGTTGTGTGTTGTGATAACTTAAGAGCAACGAATAGCATCATAGAATCGAATAAAATTCAAATATGGAGTTTCAGACATAGAATTTAAATCGAACACCCTCAGCCCACCAAAGCTCTGATCTTTGCAAAAGAGTGAGCTGGCAGATTTCGAAAGTTTTAGGTTTTAAAACGAGTGCTTTTCAATACTATCAAAATGCCAGCGAAGGATCATGAAGATAACAATTGTGGACTGCTTTCAAATATGTAATGTAATAAATCACATCGATGAACGAACATTTGTATATGCCGACCACTTCAGAAACACAATGTGTAATTCTACTTTCGTTAATTATATATCTAAATGAATAACATGCGTAAAAGTTTTCATGGTGGTCTATTCCCTCACATACTAGCAATTCGTCTATGTATGGTACCTATAGCACACCCTTAGCTCCATAAAGGTGTCACCTTTTCCAGTACTACTTATTGTGGTGGACGCGAAAACTTTCCCAGTTTACTGAGTGAGTTAAAACCCGGAAACTTCTATCCAGGTTTAACAGCCTGTGTGTGGTCTTGCGGAAGACCTTGTTGCGACTGTTTTCATTAACGTTCAGGCTGTTTATTCTATCGCATCTATTATATTCCTACCTCTGGAAGAATCTGAGATATTCCACTACAATCGTTTGACACAAATAGCGAACGTTGAAATTGCACACGTCGACGCTATTGAGGGAGATACACAACCTATGTTGTACATATGCGACCAAACGTGCTGGTTACACGGAAATCTCTACGCACACCCTTAGCTCCATAAAGGTGCTACATGTTCCAGTACTTAGCGTAACGTTCATCTTGAATAGAAACCAAACTGTGATATGGTACGCACACGCAACAGCGCCACCCCATGTAACAATCGAACATGAGCCAGATACCTCAAGTGCAAAGTTGAAGAAGACTGCACTTGCCAGCTCCAGCCGAGAACCAGACCAACTCTAAGTACAGTAATGTGAACATTTCCTCATTTTTCAGCGAGATGAGATTCAAATTATCCGTCATTCTCTTTTCCTTAACGTTCCATTAAGCAAAAAATGGAAGAATACAAGCTACAATTCTGAAAATGACCAGCGCTGAAATCATCCTAAATTTTCATTATATAAGAACAGATTTCGTGATAGACATCAACACATGTCAAATTGATGACATCCGCATACAAGGATGCTATAAATGTGCAAAGGGAGCACTGACGCACACAAAGTGCACATTTTCGAAACCTGCCCAAGCCAAAATAGTGAGATACGGCACTGCGATTAATGCTATTAGCGGGTCTAGTGTGGAAGGCACCACGCGACGACATCTTCAATACGGTGCAACGGTCGACTGACGAAATTAACCAAGGTCACGGCTCATTGTCGTAGTTTAACGCCACCTTAACTGGATAAACACACTACGAGCTTTCATTAATCAAACTCCGATAAACGACGGCGCCCAAGCATCATACCGGACGAAACCATTGCATTTAAGCAAAACTTATTGACCACTTGAACAACCTAGAATTTCTGTTAACAGATGTCGACAAAAACGACCTATTCATTATAAAATTCGACAAGGACAAAGCTCAGCAATGTATGTTGGCAATCGTACTCTCCAAGCTCAAGTTCCTGCTAGAAATATTAAGGAAATGGTACTTGAAATGAAGGTTCACTTGATGAGTACGACATTGGCATACAGAACCTAAAAGATTGCGTACAACCAAGTGAACAGTTCGAAAAGTTGTTCTCTTCAGCAACAGGTGCAGTTATCAAAGCAGCGGGTTTTGTCAGACTTAATGAACACAGTTATTACCTTGAAATTTACCAGAATACACTGTACTAGCAACGCATGATCAGAAGATCGTAACGGATAATGAGATGTAACATCTCAAGTAGCGTGGCAATATGGTAACTGTTAAACGAAAAAACCACTGGCTGTGGTGAGTATTCAAAAGACTCTCAATCACGTAGAATATCTTCTCAATCTATTTAGATAAACTACAGTTGTACATTCCTGACACCAACTTCAGAATTTGTCTATCCTCAATGTATGATGTAAACATCACATACGAAACCCTTTGTACTTACTTTGACAAATTGCAGTTGTATGCACCTTACATTAACTTCAAAATGTTTCCACCTCGTATGTATAATATAAACATTCAATGATCGTATCCTGTGTTTGTCTAGTAAAAGTGACGATCTAATT